TGGGGGGGGGGGGGGGGGGGGGGGAGCGGTTTTCTAAATTTGCAAGCTTTCTTCTTATTTTACATCATTGGCTTATGCATTGATTCGTCTAAAGTGGTTGATTTTGCTCCATACTTCCGAGGTGACTTTCTTAATTCAGTTATGGGTTCTTTCTTATGAATACATTTTTTATTTGATGGCAGTCTTTGTTTTTTGGATTTCTTTGTGTTTGTGTGCTTTTTAAGCTACCATTTTAGTTGGAGGTAGTTTTCGCCATTTCGGTTTGGTGGCTGCTTTTCTACGAATTTAATTTAAATGGCATTCTTGATTGCAATTCACACTTGTTTTATTAAATGGCGTTGACACATAAAAATTCAGTCCAAATCGAACAGCTCAAGGAGTGAAGCTTAATTGGAGGGTCCCCAAATCAGATAGCCCAAAGAACGAAACCCAATCGAACAAATCAAGATGAAGGTCCAAATAAGGAGGCCCAACAACGCGGTAACGCCATCGCCCAAGTTTGCAAGTCGTCCAGAATCTGAGCGAATGGAGTGTCATACAGTCGTCCAGAACTGTTACTCTATTCTCGTCCAAACCTTCAAGTCGCCCAAGGTCTTAACAAACATAAAGCGTCGTGGTTATCAAGAAGTGCAGTTATCAAAGCAGTTATTAAAGCAGCCCTATCACATTCCACGATTCAAGGAATTCAATCGAAAGCGGTTGAACGATGAAGAGTAATGGCAGCAGTTAAAAAAAGCAGTTTTCATGACAAGTTGGCCATTACGAAGAAAGTGGGCAGTTATAGGACGATCAAGCAGTTTTTAGAGCGGTTGATCACAAAGAGATCGTCCATGAAGTATAAAAGGGAGAAAGGACATAGAAGCAAAAGACCGAATCAAAAACTCTCGAACAGAGAACATGTAATTTTCATTTCCTTAACTTAGATTTAAACACTTTTCTTTCAGTAATTCGTGTGCTTGCGCCCCTTGGAGGCACATTGTTTTTAATTTCCAATTGTAAAGTCATCGCCAATAAAAGAACACCCCTTTTTGGGACTTTGTCTCAAAAGGTTTGTCCCTTACACAATCGTCTGATCCTTTTTAATTGTTAGCGACTAACCCGCGTGAAACAATTTGGAACGTCCGGTGGGACAGTGGTGTTAGGTGTTGAAAGTACAAAAGGTGAAACAATATGCCTCAGAGATTCGATAAGGAAGCAGCAAGTCAGGGAGGAATCCAGTCTGTGATCGAGCGATATGAGGAGCAGCATGCCTCTCCACGAATAGATGGACAGAATCAGAGCAGTAACAGTCGCTACGAACCAATGACGGAGTTGAGTCCTCGAACCATGCGTGCATTACTTGGAGAACTCACGCAAGACGTCGTTGAACAGGTAAATCTTCGAAGTATTCATAATATGAAAAGATTTATGCAAAATGGGAATGTACACTATGACAATATGGCCAAACAACTAAAGACGTTGAATGAAACAATGAATAAGTTAGTAGGCCAAATCTGTCAACCGGCTATACCTCTTACAAACCACTTTCAAACTAGGACAATTGTGGGACATAATCCCTCAGTCCTAAATCCGAATCAAGGGGTAGAACCGCTTTCTGGTCTCTCTACTTCAAACCAAGGGGATACTACAGTGCCAAATCAAAACAATGGTAGTGGTATGCCTAACTTGGGGGGTAATCCAAACGTGAGAGATAATATCCTAAACAATGTACAGCATACCCCACGTGTTAATGAGGGAACAGATGTTCAGACTAATGGTAATGGCCCTAATTATGGTAATTTTGTTGCCAATCAAGGACCAAACATCAGACCTCATGCAAATCAACCGGTTAATTAGCCTGTAGGAATTTCATATGATCCCAACGTCATGTTGAGAAACCAGATTATGGAAATCGTACAAGATCAGATGGCTTTTGGGGTACGCCCCGTCACTAGGCCGACGTACACAAAACCATATCCTGATTGGGTAGACCAAGCATACCCATGGCCTAGAGGGTACAAAGTGCCAGTATTCTCACTGTTTACCGGTTTAGGAGAGGTGTCTACTCTAGAACACATAGGGCGATTCACATTGCAAAGTGGTGATGTAACCGATTACCATAAAATGAGGCTTTTCCCTAGTTCGTTAATTGGAGTAGCTTTCTCCTGGTTCATCAACTTGCCAGCGAACTCTGTTCAAACATGGCAACAATTGGAATAGTTGTTTCACGCTCAATTTTATAAAACATGGCAACAATTGGAATAGTTGTTTCACGCTCAGTTTTATAAAATTGAGTCTGAAGTCACTTTGGCTGATTTGGCGAATCTACGTCAAATGCCAAACGAATGGGCAGAAAGCTTTCTCCAAAGGTTCAAGACAGCAAGAAGCAAGTGTTTTGTGCCTCTGCCTGAAAAAGAATTTGTCAAGATCGCTCAGGGCTGCTTGAGCTTTGATTTAAAAAAGAAGTTTCAGGACAAGGAATTTCCTGACCTTTTCCAGTTGATTGTGAATGTGATTAGGTATGAGCGGCTAATAAGAGAGGAAGAACAAATGAAAAATTCTAGTAAAGGAACTTATTACAAAGACTCAAATTTTGACGTTTATACCATCGACGACGAGTCATACGATCAGGCCGACATGTGTTTGGCCGAATTGGTCAAAGGAGATACATATACTTGTCCTATAATGGCCAAACCTAGACCATCGGGCAAAGATGAGCCCATAAAAGATGGAAACATAAAGGCTAGAACGTTCTCGTTCGACGTAACCAAAGCTGACCTTATATTTGATAAATTATATAGGGATAAGCAGATAAAATTGAGCGATAAGCATAAATTGCCAAACCCTGAACAAATCAAAGGTAAAAAATATTGTAAGTGGCATAATACATGGTCACATTTGACTAACAATTGCTTGGTTTTCCGTCATGTATTGCAGGATGCCATTGAATCAAGACGAATTACGTTCGATGATAAGAAAAAGATGGCAGTGGACGAAAATCCTTTCCCACAGCTACTTGGAGTAAACATTGTGACATCTGGATTCA